TCGGTTAAAATCTGCGCAGTTGAACAGTCTCCCTGTAACGCACCAGCAGTGGGCCACTAAAAGTGACGGAACAAATGGTATATTAAATCACTTCGCTAAAAGACGCTCAGAAGTACGACTTTTGGCCTTTCCAACCTAGGACCCTCAGTTTCCCTCTAAAACAAGGAAGAAACCTAGTTAACTTGGACACGCATGATGAACAGGATAGATGCAAAACGGTACTACCAAGGTACACGTCTTTTACTCTAATCATAGAGTTTTTTCATCTTTGATAGTAAAACTGTTTTCGAAAAACGCTCGTAGAGGAATCTAAAGGTTGCAAGTATAGATATGCTTTTTCACTACTTCTCACTAGGTCATTACAAAGTACACTCTGCGGCATGTAAGCACAGCATAGTTTAGTAATCGGTAGTGTGCAATGTCGGAGACTGTTTCCGGATAGATCGGTCCCCGGACGAGTCGGACTGATGAGTTTGTTCTGTTGTCTACTGTTATAAGGCCAAAGCATCAGTAAGGTCTTGACAAACTGTTTTTACAAACAGCATTGGTTGGTTCAGCCTGATCCCTCTGGCTGTGAACCGGATTTCGTGTCTCACGCCCCTTGATCGATTATAGGCTATCTGGCAGATAACCTTGAATACCCCCCCCCTTTCGCATCAGTTTGTGACCGGTGTGTCGAGTACGTGGGCTTGAATTGGCAGCGATCACATGCTGATTCCGTTTGATAACCACGCCGGACAGTATGCTTGCTGAGTTTCGTGTCTACGTCAATAAAGTGAAATTGGGGGCTTTGTTTGGGTAAATCTGCTCCACCAACAAGCTTCCAAACGAACTGATTCTGACTAACAATTGTATTAAGGGGAAACGGCTATTCAGAAAGTTGCATCATTAGACACCTTGGGACGAATTCCCTGTCTCTATTTTTTACCCTCCATCGGAAACGGGTTTATACAATAGTTCAGGGTTGATGTCAAGTGGTTCGAGCACTCCACGGTTTAAGAAGACTATCTTTATGCGTAAGAATGATACCCCTATTCTGCTCCCCTCCCCGTTCCGCTGTACGTTAGCTTCACACACAAATTTCACAAGTCAGTGAAACCTGAAATATTTAGCTGCTGTAACATTTGTGCCCTTCATGAGCGTCGATAAATAATCATGCAAAACAAGTGTTCGCGCTATTTTGTTCGTCTGGACGTTGGAATTTTCCCAACCTGACCTATGTGCAAGTTGAATTTTCTTCAAAACGTCTGTATGTATCTAAATATTAAGTTTATCTGAGTGGATTGCTATTTAAAAATCAGAAAACCAATGTTCATCTTTTTTCACTTTCTTTTTATCCAATACAATAATCAACTTTCGGGAATGAAGGGAATACTGCAGCTTATCAGGTATTTCCTCGGGACAGATGAAAGTGGAGAAATCGGGCAGCATCAACGGTGGTGGTTGTAAAATTCACAACCATTCCAGTTTGATGATAATCTTAAAACATTGATCATCACCATCGCAAATTAACATTAATGATGCATACGGAAAATCTCCACCTGCATACGAGCAAACCGTACAACCTGCCCCTCGTGAGTTTGATCAAGCGTTATCAGTCACTCACTGGCTCATATCTGTCTTCAAGATCCGATGTTCGGAATTCGCACTGGAACCCTTCCTTATCACCTGACTCAATTTCACACCTGTTTCATTGATATCTTATACCGGTCCTGATTGCAAACCCCGTGACTTAGATTGTCAGTTTTGCCAACTAAGCACGGGGTCCTCAAGATTCGTTTATTCCACTGCACGTCAGTGGAGCACAAAAATGTTTATCGGGTAAAATGCTATTCCATATGAAAAATAGAAATATAGAATTCCGTTTTGAGTCCTTAATTTCGGGCTGAAAATATGAAAGTGAGCCACTTTGACATGAGCACATCTCAGAATAGATTAACCAAAACCGTCGCAATTTGGTATGTATCGTCCTACATTTCTGAATTTGGTCAGAAAAACAACCTAACTCGTTAAAATCAATTGCCGTGCTTATAGTGGGGCGGTCCAGCATGGATTCCGAGAAATTCGGCTGATAGGCATCGAGATCGTTCGAAATAACATCACTGTTTAGGCAGTATGATGCCTTGATTATTTTGTGCCCCCCCCCCCACAGAATGACCAATGTACATTTGACAAAATATGGAGTATACGCAGTTATGTTTTATACACCACTAAAACTAGAGGTCAGTTCAGTTCTGTTTGCGCAACCTCGGGAACTTCGCACTGCNATGAGAAAGAAGTCAGTCGAAGAGTTAAAAGTGAAGTACACTCTCAAAACCAAAATAAAGGAAGCAAGATCTGCGTAGAAGGTAAGTAAACACAAAAGCGTCACAGCAACAAAGCACTCATCTATATGACTGGGTGTCTAAAACCATCCACTNGGTTTTCATACCCTCATGCCATGTCTTGGTTTGATCGCCTTTCGTCGTCCTCCAATCACCGTTCCTTCTCGGCAAACATCACATACGATGACATTGGAAACACATGTCCAAGCCGCCACAGTCTCTAAAGATTATGCATGCGCGTTATTGCATAATCTCAACCATTAATTACTCTTCACTTGAGTTTGGCATTAATTATCTACTTGTTCCACCGGACTCATGCAATCCCACGTATGCGGTGGTGTTCGAGCACGGGTAGTCCTTGTCTATCTTTCAGTAGCTACTTCGTCTTAGTACTATACAGCAGCAGAATCTACTCCATGGGTGTGGTAGTAGCACCAACTCCGTTTTCTGTGTGCGAACCTTGTATCTGAGATGCGTTCACCCGCATAAATGTAACTATCTATACAGCAGAGTTGGTCTCCTGTTATAGTAAATTCGGGAGCTAAACCAGCCCAGTCTTGTAACAGCATTTTACACTTTGGAGATGCAAACCGCTTGTTGAACATGGCTACGGATAATCGGTAATGTACAAACTTACTGCTGTACGGTAAAATTGATGGGCGTCAATCACACACGAAACATCTGCCAGACAGATCTTTTCCAAACCGAATTGAACTCATCACCTCAACTGTAGAAATATCTCCACCCTCTGATTACATGTTTGCAACTCTCGGTGTAACATGGTTCTTGTTCGACTGCTATCAACGCTTGTTGACGGTCTGTGTAAAAAAGGCAGCTTGGACATGGATTATCTATGCAATCTGATCAGCACTATCTCTCTAATATTAATTAATATTTGGATTAATGTGAACCAGTAATACTTCTCGTCATAGGTAGGTAATTGAGTTTACATGGCCTAGTCACACTCTTACGGTATATATCTGATAGTCGATTGAGAGTTTTCGTTTCAGTTTGTGCAACCAATAATCTAGTGCATCCGTGCGTTGTGTTTCGGGTTTTGTGATCGTCTTTGGAGAATTTATTCCAGAAAGCCGCACAGCTACGACGAAGCTGTCTGCTAACGAAGGAACTAACTTGGGTACCAAGCTAACATGCGGGTCCTGTAATGCAGCTGCATCTAAACTCTGATTTGCGCGCGCGCGTGTGTGTGTGCGCGCGGATATGATGGGGTTAATTGCCAGGAGCCTCAACAATCAGTCGCTCATCAGTGCAGCACTGGCACTACCAACACTACCGGTTGTTGAGTCTCAATAAAGCTGATGATTGTAAACTGCACACGGTCATCAGTGCCTCGTACACCTGTGCTTGTGTTCTTGTGGACCCGTTTGTCTTACAAAAACGATTGAGTTTGTCCTACTTATTTGCATACCGTTGTCTCATCGGTCTGAAACGATTGATTTCAGTGGGGTCACAAACGACTACTGCGCTTTCACCCCCTGGTTTGCCTGTCTGGATTCTGAAATTGATTTAGAAGTTACAGTAGTTTGTACAAACCTTTGTTACGCATTAAATACGGAAGTAGGTTTTTCTTTATAAGACTAAATTTTAGGATTATGCATTCCGCATGCTCCGAATTTCATGGCTTTAGACAAGAACAAATTGTGTGGTTGTTCGGTGAACACCTGCCTGAGCTGCGTATGCATAACTGAATTTGGTTGATGCCTTTACTACTCTCCATTACACTACCGAGCCCAGATAACCGGTGGGCAGCAATAGGCTATTTGCCCGCTACTTTACAGCTATATCCCGTTTTTGTTGTTTAACAGCTTTAATTCGGTCCCACCGGATTCCCACATTTATACTAAACACCGGTTGGAGTTAACAGGTTACATGTTCTGTCTCCGTTCGAAGTTGTCGGATCAAAAACGGTATGTGAGCAAACTGGAATCGATAATTGTGGTCAATTATTTCACACGTTTACGTTTTCCGTGTGAAGGGTGCGGAGCTCAACCCTTAGATGAACCGGTGTATATGCACAGATGATGAGCTTTACCAATTGTGAAACCCAGTCTAATACTTCCCAAGTGTATGGCTGACTGGATAAATCGGAGATTGGGGTGAAAGTGAAGCCTGAAGGATGACCACTCACACCACTACTGACAAATAGTTGTGAGTTAATTAAGAAAACTGTGCATTTATTGTGCACTGTTCGCAAAAAGATACCCCATCCCTGAATAGACCATGATCCTTAGGCTCCACACTGTTTACGAAAAATACCGTCTAACATGATACAGTCTAAGGTGACATGAGCTGAGATCTTAAGGCATATTTTATAGGCCAGTCAGATGCGTACTTCGCAGTTCGGAAACCCTCGAATTTATCTATTCTTTCGAGTTCGCGTAATGCATACGAAAGTCAAGGTCGTCCGAACGTCTGATCGAATACGGGAATCACGAAATCACGCCACGAGACTACGAAGTATACCTGGTTCTTTCAAGAGGGACTGTGACCAAATGAATCAATCGGTTTAAAAATCCAGCTGACAGTCAACGACGTCCCGGGTAGCGAAGACCCACGCGAAGGTCTCAGACACTCGTTTAGGGCTCTCGAGTCAGATCGGTTGTGATCAGCAGCTATTATCAGTAACGGCATCATCGGTGGTCAGATTTACCCGAAATGTCTCGATCCGACACATCTTGTCACTGTTGTGCATCACAACCAGGCGTGCAGTCTAATGGAACAACGCACTCCCTGATCGTCCTTATGTTGTACACCAGTTTTGCCCGCATAAAAGACGTTCCCGTGAGGAGAAAGGGGAATGGTGCGGTTTTCAGTAAACACTGAAAATCAATTTAGTGGGACTGAATAGTTTGCTTTTTCCATGTTTACTTGGATCGGTTCTGTGGTCACGACATCTGACAGATACCTGCACACTTATTTGGCTGTTGTACCGAAACACCAACTTTTGGCTTTTGGTAAACCATTTCTTTTGCACTCGTCTCATTTCAATTCAATTTTTTCTTTTGATTCCATCACGTTCAGATCTGTTATCAGTTGAAAATTTTTACGGCTGCCTTGTTCTTCCGGATCATTCTCAAACGTCAGCTGAGCCGAACACAATGGTTCGCTCTTGTTCTCCTGTTTATTGGTGTCTCCATGACTCCAGTGAGTGACGCAACCGAGTCATCCTCGTCCTCCTCTTCATCCGCCGCCGCCGCATCTCTCAGCAAGCATGAGATTGCAGCTCCAGTCATGAAGCAATTGCTCGCCCTGGCCTCGGTGATTGCAGCTTGTATGTGTTCCGGATTTGCGGGTGTGTATTTTGAAAAATTGCTCAAAGGTAGTCATAAAAGTGTGGCTGTGCGAAACATCCAGCTGGCGTTCTACGGAGTCACAGCCGGTCTACTCACTGTGTTCATCAAAGACGGGGCCAACGTGCAAGAGCACGGATTCTACTTCGGTTACGATGGTGTTGTATGGGCTTCGGTTTTGATTCAGTCATTGGGTGGGCTGTTGATTGCTGCGACCATTCGATATGCGGACAATATTATGAAAGGATTTGCTCCATCCGTTGCCATCGTGCTCACATTTATCCTATCCATATTCTTTTTCCATTTCTCTCCCACTTGGACATTTGTATGCGGTGGGCTGTTAGTTGTGGTAGCCACAGTACTTTACTCCCTCTGTCCACCACCGAAACTGGTCGCTGGAGCCACACCAACAGAAGTACCGTCCACAAAACCTACACGCTCATAGCATGACCGCATATGTGTCTTTCAGTGAATTCGTTTCATACTCACCCCCACCCCCCGGTTAATGAAATCTCTCCTCACCTATACATATCTCACTTTTTTGCCTTGCATTGTTCTGCCCCTTCACCCGTCCGATCGCCCCAGTATCTTCTTTGTTATTTTGCAGGTTTTTCCGTCTTTTATTATTGTTTGCTCGTTTTAGGGGCGTTTCTTTACGCTGTGCCATTCTAACCCCGAAACAGTTCTGTGATTAGCTCAACTCTCTTTCCACCTGATGAATCTCCTCAGTGTTATTGCCTAGCGTGTGTTATTTTCTCGCTCAAGCGTATCAATGTGTATGCATGTATCTCCCACTCCCCTAGCCTACTCTGATCACCACCTCATGGGAACTGAACCCGGTGGAATCTGGTCCGTGGAATATTTTTCACTATTACTATTGTTGTTGTTATTGTTTGTGCATGACGCTCACTTCGTCACTGCCTTAGTTTTCTCGCTGTCAGTTAAATGGAGTTAGTGGGCAAACGACAAAAGTTAGGTCAAAATAATGTAAGATGAGGAACTGCGGAGAGTTGTGTGCTTGTGGACGTGAGTAAAGGTGTTTGTATCTGAAACGAGTGGAAGAGGTCAAAATGTGTTTGGATAACAGAATCATGAGCGTGGCCGGAGTTAGTATCTCATAAGCAAGCATCGTCCGCAATAAGATGGATGATATGACTTCCGGATGGATCACCACAGAGATAAACGCCTGAGCGATCTGGATGTCACGCAAATATGCTTTTGTAAACAAATACGAACAAATATTAAGGAAGCATAGAGCTACCGTCGTAAAATGCATACAGGCACGCACAGATTGCGCTATCAGATAGGAAGGAGTAAACAAGATTTCGGTAGAGGGCATTTTGGAAACTGTACACCACCGGTCATGGATAAGCCAAGGTGGTTAGCTGTGCATACGTGGACACTTAATAAGCATTTGTTGACGATCATTCACGAAATCTGAGGCTTTGATATGTAGCAAAAAAGGTCTGTCGAAGGCACCTTTCTGTTCAACACTCTTCAATGCCACCAATGTCGTGCCCTGCAGGTAGCCTTTGGTCTTAAAAGAACTAGAAATGCATCCTCGAAAAAGGAAGCACAGCTATCAGTGATTGTGATGTAACCATCATTTACCTGTAACCTTACGCCAGCTTATCTCTGCGCCCACATTTTCACCACCTTACTCGCTTACTTGTCC